TTCATTTGGTCCATGCAGGATATCTCGATACCTCCTACACATGTACGCTCATTTGCAGCTCACCCTCCACAAACCCGCTTATAAGCGACTCCCCCCCCCCCTCCGTGAGATGCATTAACTTACTCAAAGTTTCGAACATTTTCGAAATTTGCACAAAAACGGGCTTGTGGAGGGCACGCCACAGGTGGGCGGGTTGGGATCTATCGATTTGTTGTTGCTCTACCCGCAGACCGACTTCCGGCTCGACGTGCTGCCCGACCTGTCGCTCCTTGAAATCCTCTGGTACCTACCCTTAAAGGACCTGGTGGCCGCCGGGCGCGCCAGCCCCCGCCTCTGCGCGCTGACCAGGACCAAGATGCGCCTCTGGCAGACCGAGGACACGCTCGCGCTCAAGAATTACAATGACATCTGCGACGTGTTGGCTGTGGCCCCTCCCGTGGACATATTGGCTGTGGCGCCGGCGGCGCCGGCGCTGGATCCGTTGGCGGGGAAGTTGACCGTGGTTCCAGACGACGCCGCCAACACCACAGGCCTCTCACGAAAGCTTGTACTGTTCACTCGGGGTTGCGTACTGGCCGAGAGTGTCGACAGCCTCATCAGGGAAGTCGCGCAGACGGTCAAGCGTCTCGAAGTCGACGCGGAGCTCGCTTGGATTTTCACCTCATTGCAGGAGGCCAACTGGTCTAAGCTGGAGCACCTGCAAATATCAGCGCAAGAGCTTGTTCCAGGGGGAGTGACGGGCGCAGTGGGAAACTTACTGTGGCCACAGGTGAGTGTGAGTGCGTGCGCCGCACGCGCCGGCCAGACCCGGTCCGGTGATGGTGTTGCCAACTGAGTAGGCAAAAAATTCCCACAAAGACACCTGCGTGAGGCGGGCTGCATCGACGCCTGCCTACCAGTCAAAATTTATACATATGCATCGAAGCGTTGCCAAGTATTCAGGCCTCGATGCAGCCCGCTCCACACAAGTGACAAATGTCTTCGTGGGTCGAAGGAATTTATTGCCTACTCAATTAGCAAGACAGGTCAGACCGTACTTTTGTCTCTCCCATGTCCTTGTCCGCAGGACGTGGTGTTGCCCAGGCTGCAAACCGTCGTGGTGGAGCCCCTTTACTTCGAGTACTCGGACACCCATCGTCTGTTTGACATTTCTGTCGAACACTTTGCGGCGCTCGAGTCGCTGCTGCGAGCTCACCGGTACCAACCCTCACTCTCACTCACTGCCCACTTCGCTTTACCATTTGGCCGTCGGTGTTTGATCCCCGGTCTCGTTTTCAGTGAACAGCTGGACTGTGTGAAGCTGTGTCTGTCGCAACTTCTTCCCCTTGTGGAGGCGTGCTCGAGCGACCTACACCGACTGGAAGTCGAAATAGCAGACAACGACGACGTTGCAGTGCTGCGACGGATGCGTGGGCTGAAGCAGCTCAAGATCGGCGTGGACCATCTTTATCCCGATTTTAAGGTACATAAGGAAGGGCTCTTTTTGAACCCGTACTTCATGTTGGTGTTGGTCTGACCCTTTACGTTCCCAGCTGACAGATTTGCTGAGGTGCTGGGTGGGACCCCTCGAGCACCTCGTCCTTCAAGACATGATCCATGAGACGGTCGTGCACGCCCTGGGCGCGGGCGCGCTCAAGAGGCTCCTGTTTTTGGTGATTTGGTCGGATTGGGATGATGATACGATCAGGGGAACACCGGGACCCCTTCGCCACCTGCCGGAGGCGTTGGCAGGGCTGCCCCGCTTGCGTTCGCTCGCCCTGCAGGTGCCGTTGCACGTGGTGCTCCCCGACATCACCCCCGCCTCCATCGCCGCCCTGGAGCTGCTTATCGTCGCGTGCGAATGTGCAAAGTCTCGGTGTCGGTGCGCAGGTGAGACGCCGTCCTCCCTGAGTTTGTGCAGACCCCGCCCGCGGGGTCTGACGAGTGTTGCCAACTGAGTAGGCGAAAAATTCCCACCAACACACTCCTGTGGAGTTGGCTGTATCGCCACCCACACACAAGGCAAACCCCCCCCAAAAGGGGGCAAAAGTTTGCCTGGTATGCAGGCATCGATGCAGCCCGCTACACGCAAGTGTAGTCGTGGGAAATGTTGCCTACTCAGTAGGCAACACTGAGTCTGACGCCTGCCCTTGTGTCCTGTGTCCGCAGGATGCTCGGGAGCCGGCCAGCTGCCCCGGCGGCTCCAGGACCTGGTTCGCTGCGCCCCCTTATCATCGCTCCACGTACTGTTTTTAAGCGCCGATCGGAGAACACACCAGATCTACTTCAGGCACTCCGCATCAGAGTCGGGCTGTGCGTTGTGCGCAGAGGCTTTCGATGTCTTGATGTGCCACTTGAGGATCTTCGACGATAAACCGGACGGCAAGCCGCAGGGCATCCCAGTCATCAGCTAGGCTCCACACCGGACAAGTCTCCCAAGTCCCCAGCCTGGCACTCCAAGCAGCTTCCATTCCCCGAACCGTTATTTGGGCGATCCAGTGGCGGAGTTAAGCTGATTGGATGTGCCTTTGACAACTTTAAGTTACTCTATTTGTTTTTGTTTTTTATTTATTTATGAAATATGTTTATTGCAGTCTAGTTTCACAATACACTTCAATTCGGAGGGTGAAATGCTTAAAACAGTCTCCACTTTAAAGATTAATTTAGAGTTAATAAGATGCGAGCGTGATTTTCACGCCGCTAGCGTGAAAAGAGTTGTTTTGATTAGCAGTTGACTTTATGCAACAGCCAATAACAGGCCGAAGTGGGGCTATGCCATTCTTTTCAGCTGAATCAGCTTTGGAGCTAGCGTGATTTTCACGCCTCTGGCGTGATTTTCACGCAAGCTTCTGCTAGCAGCGTGGTTTTCACGCAAGTTCGTAGGTGCACATTCTCGAATATCTCCCAAGGCATTTCTCAGAAAACGGGGTTTGCCAGTATGAGTCCCGCATTTTCTGTTTGCCCTACCAAGTGAAGCTGAAGCCCCGGGCCGGTCCTCATGGAGCCTTTGTGCTGCCAGGAAGAGGGGAGGGAGGAAGGAGGGGAACGAAACAGGAAAAGGCGAGCGAGGGTCCCTGGTCGGGGGCGCACCGCACCGCGGGCCAGGGGCGGGCCAGGGGCGGGCCAGGCGCGGGCCAGGGCGGCTGGCGAGGAGAGTGGCTGCCTGCCCCTGCGGTGCCCCATGGGCCCGGACCTGATCTGCCCAGTCAAGCCGAGCATCCAACCTGTTGACCTCCGGGGCCAGCGGCGGCCAGCGGGCTTTGTGAATGGAGCGAGTTGCACTGCAGGCCAACAGCGCGGCCCCCACCGCTGACGCAAAAGAAAAAGAATGAAAGAAACGAGTCAGTGTAATATGGCTTCTGCGGCGAATAGAGCGTATATCGTGCAGCCAATAAACAGTTGGATTTGTTGTTGAGTCAGACGCTCTTCAGTGTCTATGTGATGAAAGAAGAAATAGTTTGACGCAGCTTTTGGAGCTTTGCATGGTGTTTAGATGCGCCCCCACCGTGCAAAGCTTCAAAAGCTGGAGCAGGTTGTCCTCGTCCCCCTTTGCGAAGAGGAGACCCGGAAGCGACGCAGGCGACTCCACGCCCCGCCACGTTCGTCTTTGTCTCTTGGAGGATAGGACGACTAATTGGCAAGCTACTTTGGCCGCTCAGCCTTCTCCGAATCCGATACACCACGCCCCGCCATGTACTGTGGAGATACGTCCTACTAACGATGCGGATGTGAGTCGGTCGCACGCTTTCTCGGAGAAATCGTACCAAAGTTACTCGAAGTGTACTACAGGCAGTTCATGCAGGGGTGAGGTGCACGACCGAAACGAGCAGCATACTCCCTACTAGAAAAGTTTTTTTTCAGGGGCACACTGGAAAAACAAAGGTGCTAAGTCGTGCCTTTCCCTGGGGCACTAACCAAATTATAAATTTAGTGCCCCAGTGACGGCACTGAAGTATGGCCCAAAAGGTTCTAAAAAGTAGTGCCTTTGGCAGTTTTAGTGCCCTTTTAAATGCACTAAACCCTTCGTGCCTTTTAAATGTAGGACTTAGCACCTTTGTTTTACCAGTGCAAAGGGTGTTTATTGAGGCTTAATACCATTATTGCCACGCAACTTACTGTGGTGCACGTTTTGCGAGACTAACCTTTAGGGTGTCCTAAACAAACGTCTATCATCGACAGACGTCTTAGAAGAGGGACGAAAGTGCGCCCGCAGACATAATTACAAAGTTTTTACTGCAATCTGGGCTCAGTCAGGATCGGTCAGGCCGCAGAGCAGGTCTTACCGCATCAGTTTGCAGCGCGGCATGCCTGCTGCAGGCGCTTCAGCCGGCCGAACCGATCAGGGGGAACCAGTCCATTATACGGCCGGCTCATCGGCACTACTGGCCTGTCCTCATTCTGCCAGACAAATGCCGCGCCAGCCCCGGGCCGGGCGCGGGGAGAGGCTCTAACACAATGAGGCGGGGCCCGGCCGGGGCTGCCAGCGGGAGGGCGCTAGCCGGGGGAGCCGGGGGCGCCGGGGCTGAGTGAGAGGGATTAGGGGGGGCACGAGCGGGATGCTTCCCTTGGCCAGGGGGCGCGCGGTATGGAGCGCGACGGAGCGCGACGCGCGTGCCGAGGACAGGATCACACAATTGAGCATTGGGGCCTTCTGAATAGACGTCAGCGCCCGCCCCGCTCCTCCCCGCC